CCTGTTCCCCCCCCCCCCCCCCGCTTCGTGTCCCACTGCACCCCGGCTTCCGGCCAGAACCCCCTCACGCCCCGCCTCCTGCATCCCGGCCCCCGCGGCTGTCACAGGCTGTCAGAATCTCTGCGTGAGCACAGGGCCAAGCGTGCCAGGAAGACCATCACCCCGCCAAGTGCAAACACAGACACCGAGGGACACAAAACCCGCCTGACTTTCAACCCAAATCAGACCGAACCCCCATCCATCTGCACACACCCGCTCATTGGTCGATTGGTTAGTCCCTCCTCTCACTACGAACCTAACACAGACAGGGACCTTCTAGAACTTTCTTCCCCTCTGCCGGGCAGAGACCTACTGCCCACCGTGACTTTGTGTGGGAGAAACGTGAGCGCAGGTCAGCCAGCCCCCTGCCAGCGTGACTAGCTCTGTCACCTGCCCGTACGTGAGGCTCTGCTACTTATTACACAGAATTTTATTTGGGGCCGGGTTTGGTGTTGGTGAATACTTTGAGGTGTCTCTGATAGTTTTTCAGATACAAAATGTATTTACGATAAATAAAAACAAAATGCAGCACAGCCAGGCTGAAGTGACCTGTGCCAGCTGCGGGCCAAGGAGATTCGGCATGAAGGCCGCGAACGCAGGCAACCAGGCGACGCCAGTAACGTAGCTGGCTCAAGAGAAGACCCTCTGGGCCCAGCACTGATGCTCCCGACCCATCCCTATTCCCCTCATCTTCCCTCGGGATTCCACAAAAATGCGAAGGGCTTTCAAAGGGACAGTTAGGGGACAGAGCCACCCAAAATACATGCACTAAGTACCTACTGCGTGCCAAGCATTTTACAGCATCATTCTGAGCTTTTGGTCATATTACCGTGTTAAGGCTATATAACTCCCACTCCTGGAGGCCCTACCACCCCCAAAAAACCGTCAGTGTAACTGAGCAGGGCGTACGTACCTGGCGAGCTCAGCCTGGGAGGGTCCCGCACTCCTCTGGGCAGGCGTGCCATCCTGGGGGGCCAAGGCTGAGCCACACCCTGGCCTTGGGGGCCACGAGCTCACTGCCCACCTCGGGGCAGTGAGCCTCAGCTACGGAACAAAGGACTCGAATTAGTCCCATTCTGAAGGTGCACACATTCACAAATTATCCGAAGTATAAATCACGGGGAAAAGATCATTTTCCAGACCTTGGATTCGATCCTGGGCCGGGCATCTGCTCCCTGCCGGGGATAAAGCAGCCGCCACAGCACCTCTGCGCCACCTGGGAGGGAAAAGAGAGAGCGCTCGCCGGGTCCCCTGGCCAAGGCGCAGCCTCACCTGCTGCCAGCAGCCCTACTGTGTGCTGAGGCCGAGGGGGCAGCGAGTGCAGACCCGGGGACCCAGACGGGGCGGGGGTCCCAGATGAGGGAGGGTCCGCCCGCCTGGGAAGATGCTACTCGTAGCTGCCTGTGGAGTCAAAGCTCAGGGAGCCGAGACTTAATGGGGTCGCACGAGGGCCCGGGCCCCAGGGGTGGGGCTCGCCAGGAGCTGGGGAGTCCCTGGGCAGAGGCTGGATGCGAGCGCCAGTGTGGACCTCAGCGGGGTGGGCGAGCGGCCTGGGTAAGGCTGCATGTGTCCTGTGATGGCTACTGTGGAAAACGCATGCTTGTCCCACAGTCCAGACTTGAATAATTGCAGACAAATTTATCCAATAACTTTTTAGAAAGAAGCGAGGTTCCAGTGAACAGGACAAGAGCGGACCCACCGAACGCTTGCAGCAAAGGTAAGATTGGGGGGGGCCCACGCTGACCCCCCGGGGGGGACCTGCGCGATTAACAGGGCGGGCGATTAACAGGGCGGGCCGGCATTTGGGAAGAAAGGTTAAAGGGGTGCTCTGTCCGCAAGAAGAACCACGACAGGGGGCACCCAATACCTCTGTTCACATATGCGAGCGGCTATAATTAGCAGGTCCTGGGCCAGCTGTCCAGTCCCTTTGTCGACAACCAAATTAGCCAAAAGGAGCTGGGAGTGACCACGTGAGCTTTTCGGGGAGATGGAGGCAGACACTGAGGCCCCCTAGGTCTCTGGTCCGGCCTCCCATGGGGCCACAGGCTGCCTATGTGGACCTCAGGCCTCTCTGGCCCTGAGGATCCCTCATGGTCCCCAAATGGCCACTAACCTCTACGCCCACCCGTGGAGGGAGGAAAACTTGGCTATCAATGCTGCCCCTGCCTCTTTCTTCCCGAACTGGGCCTTCTGAACTTGTAAATCTAACGGCCATGAAACAGCGAGCACCCCGCCCCACCGAAAGGGGCGTGGTCAGTATTAGGGGCCAAGTGGCGAGGGTCCCGCCTGACACCAAGCAGACACTCAGGAAACATCCATTTGAGTAAATAAAATCTACGTGCCCCGCCTGGACGCCACGTGCCCGCTGCATCTGCACCGCGCAGCCCTCAGAGCCGCGCTCCTTGGCGGCTTATCGTGGGGTGTTCAGTGGCCGAGGCACGTGCCACCGCCACCGCCAGTCACAGCCCTTGGGCAAGTCAGTTCGCCCCCTGAATTCCGTTCACTCTCTTCCAAGGCGGGGGGTCGCCACCTCATGGGGTTAGCGGGATCGTTAAGGTTGACATCCCGCGGGAAAGTGCTGAGCTCAGCTGTCACGGTTACGGCAGAGGCTCTAGATGCAGTGCCATCGAAGCCTGTCACAGTTTGCCAAGGGCCCGGCAGGCCACCCCCTTGTAAATGGGATACTGAGGCCGGCCCCCACTACCCACTCCGGCCCCCACTCTCCCGGGGCTGCTGCTCCTGGCTCATCCACACAGTCACAGACCCCCGGGACCAGAAGGAGCCACCAAAGACACAAACAGGCTCCACAGAGACCCCTCCCAGCCCAGCGGTCGACCCTGGACAAACGCTAGAAGAGACCACCCAGCCTGTGCTCCCAATAGGGGCTTCCAAGTGGGGACCTCTAATTAAATAAAATAGGAGGACCCCCAATTTTTAAGAGCAGTTGATGGAACTGAGGTGGGGTGGGGGGTCCCTGAGCACCACCCGTTCAGCCAAACCCCTCCCTCACCACTGCTCCCCTGGGTCAACCCCCAAGCACTTCTCAGGACTCCCAAGGGATAGGAGTAGGGCGAGAAGACCACTCTCCAGCCCACCCTGCAGATCTGGGAAACTGAGGGCCCAGGAGGCGGTCTCCCCGAAGGTCGGCGTGGGTGCTGGCAGCTGGCAGCTCCTTCCCCTCCTCGCTCGCCTTGAAAGGCAAGAGCGGCCTCGGGAGCAGCTGATTGGCCGGGCTGCTTCAGGCAGCTCAAAGAAGGACACGGTCTGTGACCCCCTCCCAGCCCCTCCCACGGGTGGCAATCTCCCCCTCCCAGGGTTATTCTGGGCAGAGTGATCAGCTGCCCCCTGGAGCTGCCAGTCAAGGGAGGGCAGGGGGGAGGGACTCGGCCGCAGGAACACTTCTGGCTCGGGGACACTGGCCTGGGGAGGTGAGGGGCTGAGGGGACCCTCCCCGAGAGGCCCCCTGCCCAGTCTGGTTTGGGATCAGAAGAGAAACGCTGGGGACAGCCCCAGCTCTGCCATGAGTCGCTGTCTGTCCTGAGTCACAGTGACTCCCTTCCAGAGACTCAGTTTCCTCAATGAGGCCTGAATGTCCTCAGAGGAAGAGAAGGGAGTGAGGCCGGCTGCTCTCACGGTTGGAGGCTCTCTCACGGGCAAGGCCCAAGTGGTCCCCAGCCGCAAGCCAGGGGGCTGAGTGGACGAGGCAGGGGCCTGCGAGGGAGGCGCCCACTCGGGCTGCACCGGGCCAGCAGCCCCCTGCAGCTCCCACGGTCCACTGGACCCTCCTCACGGGCCCCAGAGGCCACTCAGGACTCCCTCCTCTTTCCTCGGCCGCCTCCACGGGGAGGCTGAGTGAGAAACGGCCACACCAGGGGAACCTGGAAGTCCCCTCAGCCTTCGCCCGCCAAGGACGCACCTTAACCTGCACGTTAGTTCAGCAAAACAACTAGCGACAACCCGTGGCCCTTCTAGTGTCCCTGAATGCCCACTAGGATGCTCAAGGCCCGTCCAGGACCAGGGCAGTGGAAGTCACCTAGTGCCTAAGGCCTGGTGGCCCTGTGTCCCTCACACCCAGGTGGCCCCCGAGTACATCCCAGAGGCAGACAGGGGTCTGCACCTGATGTTGGCCCTGACGGCCCCCCCGGTAGCTTGGAGAGCCAGGGGCTCCAGGTGTGACGGCTGGTGTCAAAGAGGCCAGAGAAGGGGACACGCGGCAGAGAACCCCATTCTCCCTCCCTCGCCCCCCGCCCTCAGGCCTGCTCGCTCCCACTGCTCCACCTTCCTCCTCAGCAATGTGGGCCTCCTGCCCTCCTCCCGTCCTCACCTCTCCCCTAATTCCTCCAGCCCCCGCCCCTGCCCCCCGCCCCAGGCCCAACTCTGCCCCTAAATATCCTCTTCCTCTCATCTCCCCTTCCAAGCTCTATTTTTAAAGTCAGATTTCCTTTACTGTACAAGTGAGCTGACGGGGAGAGGTATTCGCCGAGGGATTGGCGCCCCCCCGGCCCCCCACCCCCACCCAACCCTTCATAGACACACGTTGGCAGCCCTGACCCAATGGGCCACTTGCTCAGAGGCAAGCCAGGAGCGGACCTGACGGGGAGGCTCTGGTCACTGCAGGTGGTGAGGCTGGGGTGTCCGTCTGCGGGTGCTGGCGGGGAGAGGATCTGACTCGAAGACCCAACCAGGTGTATTAAATCCTGATTATTTTTTTGAAGGGGGAGGGTGGGAGTTGAGAATTTCCAAATCAGATATTTCTTCAAGAAATCGTCCCGAGGCTTGAGACCTCGGCGTGTGTCACGCTGCATTTGTAGGGATGAGGGCCCAGAAAGGAGCAGGCAGCCTGCAGGCGTGGGGGGCCGTCCGGAGCGGCAGGTGGGAGGGCGGAGGCCCCTCCGCTTTCTGAAACGGTGGCCCCAGTGATGCCCAAGTCCTCGCCAAGGGGCAGCCAGCTGGGCCCAGGAACCCTCACCGGGGTTAGGGGGAGACCCCGGCCTTGCCCCCCCAGGACCCTCACTCACCTCAACTCCAGCACTGTGGCATGTCAGGCGAGGGCACGGTCCTCGCCTCCTTGCTGGTGACGGAGTGGTGACTCTGCAGAGGGAGACTGCACCATTCTTTCCACATGCCTGGCCCGGGGGAAAAAGAATGGGGACATGAATTAATGAATTACCCACGGAGGTACTAGCTTTAAAAACGAAACAGAACAAAAAACCCCAGGGACAATCAAATCGAGATGTGTTTGGGGACAGAAGCCCGGTAAAGTATGAGGAGGAACGAGAAATTGAAGCTAGAAATTGGAGATGGTGAAAATGTTTGGTTTCGTGCAAAGGAATTTAGGCTTTTTATCCTATGTATTGAAGAGCGATGTCAAGATTTTTCAGTTTAACAAACACTTGGTGTGACTCGTTCCGCGCTCAGGCCTTTGGATCTGATGTTGTGAGCATAAAATGTGGAAGGTTTTAAACTAAGAATCGCACGAGTAAATTTGGGTGCCATGCTAAGTGATTTTAAGTGGCGGTTTCATGAATAGACATTTTGGGAAAGAAATCTGAACTTGATTTTGAGGAGAGACAGGATCGAAGTTTTCTATCGTGGTAAAGCATTTGGGTTCTTGCCATAGAGTTTTAAGAAACGTGATGGTGAGATTTATGCTCGTGGGAGGTTAAGTCTGCTGAAAAACACATGATAGAATGTATTTTAACGCCAATGGCTTTGGACTTCATATTATAGGAAACACTGAAAGTTGTGAGTAGAAAAGGAACAGCCACAAATTCCAGTATCGTGCTAAAACGTTCGGACTTTCTAGGTCGAGGGGATGCTAAAGTGGCTTGCAGAGCACGCGGAGATGTGATGGCGCTTAATCACAGGACCCACACGATCAACACTAGGAATACGCGAAAATATTGGGAACTTATTTCCAGGCTCCAGCACAATTATTAGATTTTTGCACATGCCTCGGAATTTTATTTTAGCCAATAAAAAGTTCTAAGAGAGGGGCATGGTGGGATTTTGTGTGTGTGTGTATATTCGATAAGTAGTTTGCAGTGAAACTGCAAAATAAAATTCACATTTTACCCTAAGAATGTGGACTTTTATTCCAGAATTCCACAACTGAGAGACAGTGGAAGATTTTAAGGCAGAGTTACAGGATCGAATTTTATATACTGTGCTAGGAAGTGTGAATTTTATTTTAAGGGATGACAAGATCAAATTTTTATATCATGCTAATAAGTTTGGAGGTAAGCCAAAAAGGGGTTTAAAAGAATGACGGGGTGAGATTGAGGGTTTTTTATAGACCAGTCTGAAGATAAATTACATGGTAAAACGTTGCAATTATGTTAAGCAGTTGGGACTTTATGTTACAGGCAATGAAGAAACCTTGAAAAGTTTTAAATTGAGGAGTTACATGATCAAACTTATGCATTTCGGCAGAGCTACAAAAGTGGATTTTTATGGTAAAGATAATATAATCAGATTTTTATAACATGCCAAGGAGATGAAATTTTATGGGAGAGTTGAAGGCATTCGAGCGTTTCATTTTGGGGAGGGATATGATCTCATTTGTGAGCCCTCGTGCAGAGGCATTTGGACTTTAGCCAGTACAGGGTTTTAAGGAGTGACTGATGAGAGTTTTGTCTCCAGGGGAATTAGCTGGTAAAACACGTTTCATGCTAAGGTGTCTGGATTTGATGAAACAGATAATGAGCGAGTGTGGACAGCTCGAAGGAGGCAACCCTTGGCACAAGTACACTCTGTCTGTATGCAGAGGAACTGGGTCACTTAGAGGGAGGGATGGAGGGGCGGGTCTTATGCAAAGGTCGTATAATTGATCTCACATAGCACGCTGAGAAGTTTGGACACTATTTTGAGGGATGACAGGATCCCATTTTTGTGTCTGCTAAGGAATTTGGATTTCAGCCATTAAGCGAGTTTAAGAGAGGAACATGGCAACACTTCTGTGTTTGGTTAAGAATGGTGTGCAGAGAAATTGTAGAGTAAGATGTATTTTTCATGCCAAGGAGTTTAGAGCTTGTCTCGGAGGTGATTACGAGATATTATAGGGTTTTAAGCAGAAGTTACAGGACCAAATTCATGTACCTCGCAAGGAAGTGTGACCTTTGGAGGAATGACATGGTCGAATTTTTTTATCATGCTTTCGGGTTTGGAATTAAGCCAATAAAGAGTTTAAGAAGTGGCCCAGTAAGATTTGGGGTTCTATATCCATCAGTGTGCAAATAAACTGCATGGTAAAAATTTTTTTTTTATGCTAAGTGATTGGAATTTCATATCATAAGCAGTGAGAAGAAACTTTTCTAAGCTTTAGACAGAGAAGTCACGGGATAACTTTTATGCATCTTGCTAAAAAGTTTGAACTCTGAGGTTAAGGAGTATGAAGATCGGGTGTTTATAACATGTCAAGGATATTACATTTTAGTATCAAGACAGGATGTCGAAGGTTTTAATCGGTTACATATAAGTGTGGACTTTCTATTAAGACAATGTATGATCGAGTTTTTAAATCATTTTGCTAAGGAGTTTAAATTTTAGCCAATAAAGAGCCTTAAAGACTTTAAGAGACATACTGAGATTTTAAATTTTAGCCAATTTAAATTTTTTAATTTTAAATATTAGCCAATAAAGGGTTTTAAGAGACATACTGAAATTTAAATTTTTAAATATTAGCCAACTTAAATTTTAAATTTTAAATATTACCCTATAAAGGGTTTTAAGACAGATACTGAGATTTTACATTTTAAATTGTAACCAATTTAAATTTTTTAATTGTAGTCAGTATAGGGTTTTCAGAGTTTTAGAAGACATACTGACATTTTTATTTCTAATAGATAAGTCTGCCAATAAATTTGCCAAATTTTGTATTTTGGTTAGAATTTTACATCAGGGACTTGGCATTTCATGATAATAATACACACCTTATAGGACTTTTATGAAGAGGAAGTGAGTTAATTTATGTGACGTGCTCTGTCTATGCTGCTGTGATGAAGACAGATGGTGACCGATGACCAGGAGGATTTTACGTAATTCGTACATTATACTAAAAAAATGTACTCTCTACCTTGAGGACAGACATGATCGTAATTTTCTATTATTCTAAGGCCTCAGAATTTTAGCCAGAAAATGATATCGGTGAGTTTATGTGTCAGGAATTTTTATGCTAAAAGATTTGGATTTAGCATAGTAGACAGTAAATAAACAGCAAAAGGTTTTCATCAGAGGGCCTGCGGGATCAAATTTAACTGTCACGCTAACAAGATCTTAATTTTGAGAAACAGCAGATCAGAATTCTGAATCTTGTTGAAAAGTTTGGATTTTAGCCATTAGGGGTTTTACAGAAGGGCACGTGTGTGTGTGTGTGTTTGTTTTTCTTTCTTTTTTTTTTTTTAACGATCAGCCCCATGGTTAAAGAGAAAACTCAGAAGTAACGAAAGGTGTTAAATAAATGTATAAAGAGCAGGAACCGTAGAGTTCATTTCTGGAATGACCAGAAGTCCATGTGCCGTGCGAGAAGAACAGTGCAAATCACCCAACCAAAACGTCTCTTTAAACTCGGTCTCGGCGCACTAAACCACCCAGAACTAGACATTCGAAAAGCCATTCCAGGGCGACCAGGTGTCAAGGGTACCTCTGGCTCTGCCCCATCCCCACCCCTCACTCGATATCCCAGCTCCACTGGATACACCCCCCTGCTGGGAGGAAACCAACCAGCACAGAGAGAGGGGTGTCTACCAGAGCGAAGAGGTCAAGGTCAGCCCCACCTGGGGCCAGTCAATACGTGTGCACACGTGGGACTGAGGCCCGATGCTGGAGGTAGAACCCCAACACCCCTTCCCCCCAAACAAAGAGAACAATCCTGGGGACGTGCAGATTTTAGGAGGGGTAGGAGCTGACGGGCAGGTCTCCTGAGCAGCTCAGAGCTGTGGAGAACACAGCATTGGAAGTCGATGAGAGAAAGGAATAGAAATCAGCCCAGAATTCCGAGTCAGAATCCCGTCACAGATGCGCACGTCTCTGGCACATCGTACAAGTTTTGTAAATGTTTACGGGAAAAATGCAACCCGGAATCCAGATCTCTATATCCGGCCTCCCCAGGTTCTACAATGAATCTGGGAGAGGAAATAAGAGATATTTGGGGCTGCTGACCCAACGTGACAGGTCAGTGGCCAAGTGCCCGTTTTCCCCTCTTCCCCTGAACTGGTCAAACCGTGGGCGTCTCTGCTGGACGGCCCCGCCCCGCCAAGCTTGCTCCGGGGTGCCTCGCCTGCCAGGCTAACAAGATGTGACCCCTGTGCCTTCTGGGTGACCACAGGAGGGAAGGAGGGTCGACCAGGCACAGGTGCCAGGGAGAAACGAGCGGCCAGTACACCCCGCCAGGTGCCTGCCGGCAGGCCACAACAGCACCCCGGGCCCATCGCCCCAGAAAATTGATGGGCTGTGAATTTCTCACAGCCATGGGAAGGAGGCCGGCCAGACAGGCAGGGTGGGTGAGACGGTCAGGGGCTGACCGATTCTCTCCCTGGGGGCACCCCGAGTGGGACGCGGGGAGGCTTCCCCCAGTCTGTTCTCGTTTGTCTTGGAAAACCTGACCCTGACCTCTCAAGACCCTAAACGGCTGTCTTTACCCCGCGCCCCGCCCCCCACCAGGGTCTGATCTCTGCGCCCGCAGTCGCCGGCCAGACGCATCACCACCTTACCGGTCTTCAGAGAACACTCCTCCCAGCCGACGAAATGATAGAACCCTCTGAAGACTCATTTGAGACGATGATGGAGCGTAAGAATCCATCATCAAAACAAATGGAGTCCTCCGAGGGCTCATCCGGCGCCGCCGTGGAGATGTCAGGCGGCGGGGCGCAGGCGGAGGCAGGGCCGGCCAGCGGCCCAGCCCAGGAAACGGAGGCGCTGCCCATTGATCTCCTCCAAGACATGGAGGGGCCATCCAGTGGCCCACAGAGGGAAATAACGGATCCACCCAATGACCTACTCCAAGACCCGGAGGAGTCACGCGGTGGTTCCCGCCGGGAGCTGGGGGATCCGGTCGACGAGGCACCTGGCGAAACGGAAGAAGCGTCAGGCTACGCGTGGGGGGTGCAGGACGAAGACGACGACAGCACTGACCTGGAGGCCGCGGGGGACGGGCCGCGCCCCGAAGAGCTGACCGACGCCTCGACCGCGGAGTTCATGGCCATGGTCCGGTCCATCATCTCTCTGTACTTCCGGATGCAAGACCTCAGGGAGCAACAGAGGGTGGCGGAGGAGATCTTGATGAAAGGGGTCAGCGCAGGCCACCTGCCCATCCCGAAACCCTTCTCCGGGGACCGCAGAGAATACCACGAGTTCATCGTGCTCTGCCAGCTGATCCTACAGAGCTACACCCGAATGTTCTACAGCGACCACCTGCGCGTGGGGTACATCATCTGCCACCTCACGGGCCTGGCCTTGGAATGGGCCAGAGCTCTGATGGAGGAAGAGAGTCCCGTGATCAGGGACTTCCCGTCCTTCCTGGAGGCCATGTCCGACGTGTTCGAGTACCGGCAGGCGCTGCGGGTGGCCGAGGAGGCCATGTTCAACATCAGGCAAGGGGACCGCGCCGCCATCGACTACATCAACGAGTTCCAGGGCCTGGTACCCACCCTGGGCTGGCCGGACGAGGTCCTGCAGGCCCACCTGTGCCAGGGGCTCAAAGAGGAGATCAGGCACTATCTGTTCCGCGTCCCGCAGCCGGACTCGCTGGACAGCCTGATCGTGCTCGTCCTGCAGATAGAAGAGAAGCTGGCAGAGAGACGGGCGATGCTCAGGCTGCCCCCGGAGGCCCGCCCCCGGAACCTGACCTGGATCGACTCACCTGCTCCGGAGAGGTGGATGGTCAGCAGCTGGCTGCCCTGCGAGGTCCACCCCACCATCGACCGGGACCACCTCTTCCTGCTGCTCATGGTGAGAGTGAACCCTTACCACAGCGTGGCCGTGCAGGCCCTGGTGGACTCAGGGGCGGGCGCCAACTTCATGGATGAGCGCTTCGCCCAAGAGCACTACGTCGAGCTGTACGAGAAGCCCTACCCGCAGCAGATCCAAACCATGGACGGTTCGCTGATCGGCAACGAGCCCGTCTGGCTCTACACCGAGCCCCTGGTGTGCATCCACCAGAACCACCAGGAGCCCATCGAGTTCGACATCGTCCCGTCGCCCAACTTCTCCGTGATCCTGGGCATCAACTGGCTCCGCGTCCACACCCCCGAAGTCGACTGGGTCAAAGGCCGCTGCACCTTCCACTCTCCCTACTGCCTGAAGAACTGCTTCCGCCCACCCCCGCCATGCATCGCGCTGGAGGAACATGCCATCAGCCTGCTGCCCGGACTGCCGCCCCAGTATTCCGACCTGGCCGACGTGTTTAACCCGAAGGAAGCAGATGATGAGACTTCCGACCAGCCAAGCTCAGACGGATCCGATGATCTTTCTGAATCAGAGCCCTCTGAGCTTCAGCAGGCTGGAGACAGTGATCACAGCGAGACCTTCTACGAGTGTCCCTCGTCCGCGCCTTGGGAACCTGTGGGTGCTGGGACGCAAGAGGGAGCCAGGCTGCGGGATGAGTACTGGGACCTGCAGGACATGCTGACCGACAGACAGGACTACATACAGATGATTCCGGAACTGTTCGACCAGTTACACGGAGCGACATGGTTCACGAAGCTGGAGCTGCGTGGGACCGTGGTGGAGGAAAGCATGAACATAAAGCAGGCAGAGGATGTGTGGCGGGCGGCGTTCGGTCTGGAGCTCCAAGAGATGGAGAGCTACAAGCCCTTCACGATCTCCCCGGACCCCACCATCCCTCAGAGCGTGCTGCACTTTATCCTCAAGGACATGCTAGGCTACTCCGTGCTGTCCTACGGGCAGGACGTCCTCATCTACTCCATGAGCCAGGAGGAGCACCTCCAGCACGTCCGCCAAGTCCTGGCTCGCTTCCGGCACCACAGCGTCTACTGCTCCCTGGACAGGAGCCAGTTCCACCGGCACACGGCCGAGTTCCTGGGGTTCGTCATCACCCCCAAAGGCGTGAGGCTGAACAAGAGCATCGTGACCACCGTGACGGGCTACCCCATCCCCGGCTCCAAGAAGTCCCTGCGCCACCTGATCGAGTTCATCTTCCCCTACCGCCACTTCGTGGAGCGCTTCACCATGATCACCGAGCCGCTGGTGCGGCAGCTCCTGACCAGCAGGCCCTTCTTCTGGGCGGACGAGGAGCAGGAGGCCTTCGAGTGCCTGAAGCGGGCCTTCCGCAAGGCGCCCCTCCTCCACCACCCCAAGCCCCAGAACCCCTTCTACTTGGAGACGGGCGTCACCAAGACGGCCCTGCACGCCACCCTGGTGCAAATCGACGACCAAACGGGCAAGAGAGTCTCCTGCGCCTTCTACTCCCGAAACATCTCCCCGATCGAGGTCGAGTACTCCGCGCTGGAGATGAAGATCCTTCCGATCCGGGCTGCCTTCATGGTGTGGTGCCGCTACCTGGAGAACACCGAGGAGCCCATCATGATCCTTCTGGACAAGGAGGACCTGGCCTCTCTGAACGATGACAGGCTCACCGCACTTCTCCCCGGGCATTGGGTGTACTTCTTCTCTCATTTCCACTTTGACGTCATGGAGCAGCCCGGGCAAGACCGCGGCCGGCCTCTGCCGCCCACGAGGAACCCGGGCCGCGGGCCGGCCCAGCCCCGCGACACCGCCCGGCCCCTGCTGCTCTGCGCCACCAGAGGCCCCCCCAGGGCCCCGCCCCCGGAGTCCGGGGAGGAAGAGGGAAGCGAGGACGCGCCTCCCCAGGAGGAGCCCAGCGGGCAGACCCTCCAGCAAGAGTTCCTGGCTCGCATCCCAGCTGACCAAATACTCAGCAGCCTCCTGGCCCACCTCAGCGTGGCGCAGATCAGGGCGGTGATCCTGCACTTCTTCCGAGGCCTGCTGTTCTGGAAGAACACGCTGGCCGTGGCAGCCCTGCTGGTGATGCTGAAGGCCAGGCCGCGCCTCCCGCGGCTGCCCGCACGCGCCCTGGAGCTGGC